CCCCCGCGGCTGCCGCGGCGCTCTTCGCTTGGGTACGTGGCTCCGCCCCCGCGCTCGGGGATCGACTGAGGGGGTTCGGAGACCCGGGAGCGCCCGGCGTCTGCGTGGGTGGTGGGGGAGCTGGGAAGCAGAGGCCCAAGCCGGGGTTGTGGGTTGGAGTACTCTGGGCTGCGGCAGGGAGGGACTCCCCGCGGTGCCTGCTGTTAGCTGTGGGGTGAGGACCGCAGCGATTGAGGCGCTTCGGGAGGACCCTACCTTCAGGGCAGAGCATCCATTCTGGGAAAGCCCTTGCTCACCAGAGCGCCCGGGAAGACAGCGTGGAGGCTGGACAGAGAAGATTGCTTGGTGCCAGAGATCGTGGGGCCACCTGTGTCATCCTTTTGCTTGGGGGGATGGAAGGCTCCTTTCCAGCGCCATCACCCGGGGGAGCATCCTTTGGATGTGAGGCCTGTGGAGTGTGGTCCCCCGAGGCGCAGATCCTGCTTGCATATTTGCTGTTACTATGGTGTGATCGGATCTTATCTTTTCTGGGGGTGTGAGTCTGGGCTGATTAGGTTTTGAGAGAACGCTGAGTTTTGAGAGAACCATGGTCATCCTTATGTGTGACTGGAGAGGAGGCTTTATGCTCGCGAATGTGGAGAGGACATGCGTGGCCTAGCTGGCTCCTTGAGGTAGCCCTTGTAGTGGGGGTGGGGTTAATAACTGATTGTGTTGCTGTCTGTCATTTTCCAGCTAGGAGACTGCTGGCTTTTTTGGCAGAGGAAAATATGGCAGAAAAAGCCTTTCATATGTGGCCTTGAATGGACAGAGAGGAAACAGGGGTGAACCTCACTTATACTAGTGTGCTTGGAGGCCTGCTCGGGTATTCTTCCTGCTGCTATGACAAAACACTACAGACTGGGTTCTTAAACAATAGAAGTTCATTATCTCACAGTGCTGGAAGCTGCAAGCCCAAGATTAAGGTGTGGGCACTTTTGGTTTCTTTGAGGCCTCAGGTGGTTGTATCTTTGTGCATGGGCATCCTTGGTTTCTTAGGAAGAGACTAGATGGACTGGACTAGATTCCCACCCTTATGGTCTCACCGTTTAACCTTAATTATCTCTTTAAAGGTTGTGTCTCTGAATACAGTTATATTGTGATATGTCAGAGGTTAGGGCTTTAAGTAGAAATTTTAGAGAAACAATTCGTCTCGCAGGTGTGTGTGTGTGTGTGTGCGCGTTCGTGCATGTGCGCGTGTGTGCTGTCTGGATCCTTTGTAAAGAAGGAAGGTATTCATGGTTGTCATAGGGTGTATTAAAATTTCCTTTACCCAGCTTTATCTTGGGTTTCAGGCCTCTTGCTGTACTACAGAGACTTGTACATAGCATGAACTTCAGATTGCTCTTGTCTGGCTTCTCCCTCAGGTGTTCCTCATCCTGCAAACCTGGCAATGGTCAGATTGTATAGAAACTCCAGCATATGCTCTTTGCTTCACTTCTGCAAGTGTTGATTTGACCTGTCCAGGGTGGAGACTTGTGCCTGACATCCACACTTGGCCAGTGCAGTTTCAGGTTTAGGAGAATAGCTGTGAGCAAGACCAAGTCCCTGCCTTCGTGGTTTCTAGGAGCGAAGGTAGACTAGTCAAGTAGGCAGGACACACTGTAGTGCCAAGGAATGATACAAAGAAGAGAAAGGGGATAAAGTGATGGAGGTGAGCAGTAGTCTAGAGTCATGTGGCTTAACCTCTTGGCTGGTTCTGAAAGCAAACTTCCTTATTTTGTTATTGACACAGTAAGAGCTAATGAAAGAAGCAAACTTACTCACCCAGTTGTATAACTATGGATCATTACTTAAGCCTCCCCAGACCTCAGTTTCCTCATCTGTAAAATGAATGTGAATGCTCCTTAGTTGTGAGGAGGATTAAAGAAGCACTTAGATGGAGCTCTGTTATTCCCAAGACCCTCATGACCTATGCCCTCTCATAGCTCTTGAAGCCCTGCTGCTCAAGGTGTCTGGAAAAACCCAACAGACAGGAGGGTTTGAAGCGTGTGTTTTGCATTCATGCCTTGGTAGTTGTTTTACGTCACATGTTCTCATTCAGGGGCCCTCAAAAATGGGTTTTAAATGGCTTTACCACTCACTTCCAAAAGAAGCAGCTTGGAAGTAGACACTTGAAGAGAGGAATTTCTGAAGTATTAAGAAGATTGTCCTTATGTGGTCACAGTTCCTCTTGTTTAACTGAATACGAAAAGCTCTGAATACTTGGAATATACTGGGCGGTGGCCCTTTACAGTGTCCACTGTTGTATGTCTATCTTTTGTTGTAGAGATGTTACTGTCTCACTTAATGGACATTGCTTTCATCTTTACAGCATCTTTGTGATATATGTTATATATACTGAATTCTGTTTAGGTAACCTAGCTGTAAAGATTTCATACTAGAGATGTTTTTTCTTCCAGTGCTGGGAGATTGAACCTAGGAACATGCTAGGCAGGCACTCTGCCGCAGCCCTAGACCTGTACTATGTGTGGACTTGATAGTGTAGATCTACAAGGGGGAATTGAATCTTGGAGTTGTCAAATGCTATACTTGAAAAGGCCCTTTAGAGATCACTGCCTAGGTCTTGTACTGGACACATGAAATGGCAATGCTCCCTGTTAGGGGTGCAGCACCCTTAGCTAACTGAGTAAATACAGGAAGTCATTGCCTGTGTCCCAGTGAGGATGTGGGGAGGGGAGCGCAAAACTAATTTCATAGTGTTTCCTGCTAACTTTCCCCTCATCTCCTCCCCAATTCCTTTCTTCTCCTGGATAATTAGCTTTTATCGGAGGGGATTCTTGGGCTGATGCCCAAATATAGTTTAGTCTTGATTGGTTTTTATTTCCCTTGTGACCCAACATAAGAAGAGAAATGTCAATTGAAGGCCTTGGTCAGATTGGCCTGTGAGCATGTCTGTGAGAGATCACTTTGGTTGATGATTGATGCGGAAGCTCCAGTCCACCATGGGTGGCACCATCCCTAGGTTGATGGGCCTGGGCTGTATAAGAAAGTTAAGTGGAGAGAACCAGAGATCAAATCACACACAGGCTTCTGTTTGGTTCCTGCCCTTTCCTTCCCTAAATCAATAGTCACCTCTCCAATCTGCAGCAAATTAGAACAAAGGTTAAATACCTGAAGGTAAAGGTGAGCCACATGGTTGGCTAAGTTGGGATGTCAAGGATGCCTCTGAAATAGAAATCACAGTGCTCACAGATGGACCTGGTTTCTCAATGTGAATTGCACAAGACAGCCTCCTAAGAATGGGTATGTGAAATGTCATAGGCTCTGAGAGGTGTGTTGGGGTGAGAGACAGGGAGATGGATGCTGACAGTCTGGCTCTCTTATTGCTTTCCTTTCATGTTGTGTTTCATCCCCAGGGTGCAAATAGCTACGGGCAGCTTGGCCTTGGCCACAAGGAAGATGTGCTTCTGCCCCAGTGACTGAGCAACTTCTGTGAACCTGGGTGTATCAAGAGTGTCACAGGAGGAGGGGGCCATTCTGCAGCTGTCACAGGTAGTTCTCTTCACAAATGGATAGCCACTTACTTATGTATTGAGGTATTTATTTTCCCCTTGGATGTTACCTTGCCATCTTTTAGTCTTTTGTATTTGTCAGCGAACAACATTTGTTTTTGTGAAAGAGCCAAATAACCATTAAGGGAATTCTGACTTGTCAGAGCTTGAAATTTTGAGTTCTTTAAGTTCCCTTTCCCTACACCCTTATACAAATAAGGCTCAGAGAGGAAGGCTTAAGGTCATAGGCAAATTGGTGGACATGCTACAACCTGTTTAAGTTTTACTTGGAAGCCTTTACAACTAGGTGAATGATCCCTTGAAAGACCCTTTCCTTGACCTAAGTTTCCATCCTAGTGCTCAGAGGGTACCAGGTGCCCCTCATGCCCCAGCTTAGCCAAGGCTGCCATATGTATGGTATTTGGTTAGGAATGGGAGCTGTGGCTCAAACTCCCCGGGTTCACACACACATACTCTGTAGTTCATCAGCTCTGCGGCTCTGGCGGAGTCTCCCTCTGTGGCAGTGTTCTACTTTACTTCTGGTGCAGTGATAAAATGCCTGAGCATCTGAGGGGATCTACTTGACTTGACATACTAGGAAATACTTCATTGTTGCGGGGAGTAAACTTAAAGCATCAGCTCCACAGTCAAGCATAGAGGGAAAGAAAGGCATCATCCTTGCCCGCTTGTTGCTTGGACTCAGCCAGCTTTCTTCACTCTAATGTAGTTTAGGGTCCAGCCCATGAAATGGTGTTCCCATATTCAGATTGGGTTTCCCAACTCAATAAATAGGACGGTCACCTGTCAACCACAGACACGGTCACCTGTCAACCTGGTCTAGATAATTTCTCATTAAGACTCCTTCCTGGGGATTGTAGGTTGTTAATTGATAGTAAAAGCTAACTAGCACACTCAATTTTCTCTTCTCCTGTCCCATGGAGATAATAACAGTAGATAAACTCAGGGTATTTTCAGGGATGTTTTAGGGCTTTTACAGGTCTTTGGTGTTCCTGTCATCACAGATTCCTCCCTCCGTTTGTAAAGAAATGCTAAAAATTATATTTTACAACTGTACTGATATAAAGTAACTATAACCAAGAATGGCATTTGAATTATATATGAATTATTGTTACATTAAAATCACCTTAAAACAATTTAAAATT